TGGTATTGTGCCTAACATCTAAAATGAAGGTGAGACTTAAAAATATGTAAACTGGGTAGAAAAGACTGCACAGGGCTTAAGGCTTGCCTTGTTCACGGCTGATATCTAGCACCATATACCTAAGCACTACCAGGGATGATTCCTGAGGAGAGCCAGGAGTAAACCCTGGGCACCATCAGGTATGACTCCTAAATAAAACAGACATAAATATGTGAATCCTCTTAAATTTTAATCTCCCAATCGATGACAGTAGAGAAATGTTGCTTTGGATAAAAGAGAAAAAAATAAGTTTTTATACACCTACTCATTTTCTTGTATTCTCTCTCTCCCTCTGTCTCTGTCTCTTTCTCTCTCTGTGTGTGTATGTGTGTATGAGAGAGATTAGAGAATGAGAGAAAGAAAGAGGGAGAAAGAGAAATATAGATATTTTTCTGTTTCTTTTCTTTTCTTTTTTCTTTTCTTCTTTTTTTTTTTGGTCAGGGTGAAACACATGTTGGTCAATCTATTAAAGAGAAAAGTCCTAAGGTGCGAACTCAAATTTGAGAAAAGTATGCTGGCAGTGTAGAACTATGTCTTCTAAGCACAACTTGTGAGATCTTGTAACTAAATTCTAGTAAAACCCACCCATTGGACTCTTGTAACTAAATTCTAGTAAAACCCACCCATTGGACTCCATTATATTCCAGGTCTAAATAAGAGGAAATGAATTTAAAGCCCAGCTTGAAGAATCCTAGTTAGACATGCAGGGTAACTTTTTAAAAATCTAATAGTCACTCATTCTTCTTAAGTAGTCTCTCTAAAAATGAGAGAAATTTTGCATCTCCAAGTTGTGAGAAGTTATACACAATGGTATAACTTCTCAGGTTTGGCAGGGGCCATATAGGTCTGAAAAAAGCATATACTATGTGTACATCACCACTTTACATGCTCCAATTCACACAAACCTTTACTCTGCCTTGTGCCTTGCACTACATCTGTAGAAAGTGGTTTTCACTGTAAGTTCATTTGCTAAGGCTCCTCTAAGACCACAAAAGTCACATTCTTTTGGCTTTCCTGATCCAACTTCATCCTTTGTGCTTGTGTAACCAAACTGTCAAATTCAGTCCTCCACTCTTATTGAAAACCCATTTATCCCATTCAACCCCTAAGTTTGTGGCCCTTTCCCACTAATGTGGTCATCTCATTTTATTGCCTCTCATCCTTCTTTTCTATCTTTGGTTTCTGCTACTTTGTTTCTACTATCTCCAGCTACCTCCAGAAGGAGAGAACTATATAAGGACCCTACTCATAGGGGAGGGGATTTCTCTATTATTGTCACTTGTCTCATGTCTGAGACTAGCTGACCCTCCAGCTACAGCCTCTCACATAGGGTGGAAGACATATCTCCTTTGTTCATCAGTAGTGTGTTAGAAGTTTAGGAGCCTTGGTCAACTGTAGGTTATGGAAATACAAATAGGTGAAGGGAGATCAACATGGTAATGGGTAAATAATCAAGGTAGAAGGAAAGAAGAAATGTAAATATCATTGACTACAGGAACAAAGCAACTGAAAAGAAGCTTCTAGACTTTAATTTGTACAAAGGACCTTTTTTTTTTTTCATTAGAGGCTTACCTATTCTGACATAGTTGCTATCAAACAAATAAACAAACAACCCTATTCCCCCCTCCACCTCACTTTTAAGAGATCCTGGTCAACAATTGTCAGTAGAAATCTCAAATTATTTTCCACTGTCTATATGCGTGCAGTGGTTGAGTGAGTAAATTTGGGGTTGCCTTAAGAGGTCACCAAGTACATCCTCTGCTTCAAGCAGTTTCAGACACAACCACTTCAGAGATGCAAAATTTCTCTCATTTTTAGAGAGACTACTTAAGAAGAATGAGTGACTATTAGATTTTTAAAAAGTTACCCTGCATGTCTAACTAGGATTCTTCAAGCTGGGCTTTAAATTCATTTCCTCTTATTTAGACCTGGAATATAATGGAGTCCAAATAGTGCTAGGTCCAAATTGGACTTATTTCTCTGATATCTGTTTCTCTGTAATGTTTGTTTTCACTCATGAGAAAAATTCTAGTAATTGTCTACTAGAGTGTCCTTTCAACCTTGGCTACAGCAAGCAGTGAGATGTGAAACCACTGCTTTGGCTGTCGGATACTTAGTAAAACCCCTGAAGACATTCTGAGATGAGCTTTATTCTAACTGCCACTTTAGAAAGAAGAAATTGACGCGCAGAGGAGTAAAAGTGAATGAGAATTCTAAACACAAAGCAGAGAGGGAGTGTGGATTTGGCGCCTCCATGTCTCAGAGGCATCTTCCCAGGCTGGCCGGCTCTACCTTTACCCCTCCTTAACTACTGTGTTTCTGTCCTGCCTCCTCCAGCAACTTCCTCTTCTTGCTCCAGTGCTTTTGTGCAGGGAGGAGCTCTTTTTCACTTCCTGTGTTCTGCCCCTGACACTCTTGCTCTTTTGACTCCTTCCCATGTAGCTGAGGAAATGTAATTTCAAATGTATTTCTTTTGCTTTCATCTGATAATACTGCTATTACACTATATTTTCTTCTAATACACACTTAATTGGTTTGATGATAAAGATTGTGAATGAATAAATAATCTATCACTCATTTCAACGCTAGATTATTTCCTTAAGAACTATCAAGGATATATCTAAACCTTGCTGGCCACGAAGAGTCACTGATCCTATTTGTGCCTCTTCCTGCTTTTGGTTTTTAAGACCAACTTGTTCACTGACTTTCTACTCCTACCTCCTCCCCCTTTTGCTCTGGTGTCATAATGTCATTTTTAGTTCTTGCTTCTGTTTCGAAGAGCAGCCCCTTGGCTTTTAGCCCTCACCTGAGAGCTGTAAAGCTTCTGTTTGACTTTAGTGGCTTTCCCTGTCTGTCAAATGGCTATGGCAACAATTGCCATGACAAATAAACAAAGTAAGTAATGAGATTGATGGGGTTTTTGAATTTTACAACACTGAACTTTTTCTTTATAAACTTTCCCTTAGCAGGAGAAACAGAATGAAAATCGTATCACATGTGAGAAGACCATTGGGAACAGACCCTGGAGAAATTACTAACTTTCCTCTTTTCCACAGTGACACCTGACCTGGTTTGTGTTAGGAAGAGAAGTTGTAAACTGCAACTAGAACAAAGTTTGAAGGCCAGTTGGAAATGACCATCAGGAGTGTGGTGACCTCTAACAAAGAGTCATAACCACAATAGAAAGTGCACAGGGGATGATAAATACAGGAGGCTGTGAAGGCATTTATAATAACAGTTGTGAACTCTGAATTGTTCTTTACTCTCCAGGAATAAGCTCCACTTTCAGTTCTCTAAAGATGTTAGAGGGAAATGACTGAAGACTGTATAGCTGTAAGGTATCAGGGAGAACTCCTTGGTTTCCCTGCAATCACCATGAGTCCTAATTTTGATGTGTGAGTTTTCAGTTGATATTTAAATGCCAGTGGATACATACATGCAAGACCTCCAGTAGTTTTTGGTTCCTAAACCTTTCCTCTGTGTCCAATTAATATGAACAGGTATTCGTTCATGTGTGAAAGGGTAAGAACAGCATACATACCAGAGACAAAACATGTGTGACAATATAGATTAGCTGGATATTTTATTATTTCTGGTATTTCTCTTACATATGAGTTGTCATTGGCCTAATGCTTTTGCTTACATTTACTTTTGATTTATGTGTGTTTTGAAGGAACATTGTAGCAATACTAAGTGTATTAAACCAGTATCTCTTACAGAAGATAGAAATCAATCTCAAAAACAAATGCACAACAACAAAGCATACTCTTTTGTGTGATACCTTTGAAAAAAATCCTGAAAAATGTAGAAAGGAGAGGCTAGCTCACTGTTGTGTTTATTTTCCATCTACTCTTCCATTTATAGTAACATTTTCTAATAAAGAAAATGATTTATGAATGTCTTTGTTTCTTTGTTCATCTAAATCAAATGGCTGGAACCTCATTTATTGTCTGCTTATACACTGTAGCTAAATTTAAAATATATTTGTACATAAAGACTACTTAGTTTCTAACACACATATAGACAACAGCATATTGTTCTTAGTTATTACATTTGTATGTCCTATTGAAAGAAGCAATGTGATGTTTTTCTTAACTCAAAAAATTTTGCAGACATTGCTCTGTTGGCTGTGAGGGCATATGTAACCAATCATGATGTAATCCATTTTATTTCATTTCTACGTGTATATCCTTTATGGTAATCTTTGTGAAAGTGTTTTTCCATATATCAGGTTTAAAAAATTTTTAAGATAAAATAGATATTTTAATCTTTCACTTTTTTTCTCTCACAAGAACAAGATATAATGGCAGTAAAAACTAGTATTTGAATAAGAAATTGAGTCTAATTATGACTCTGCTATTTGATTTTGAGTAATTCTACAAAATTTTCTGGGCCTTTGCTTCTTTCTTACAATGAAGAGGTTGGTCTAAGGAACAAGCATGTTATCCAGGGAAAAGAATGGAAACTTCTTCAACAACCTTTTGTGGAAAAATCAGATAAGGATATTCTAATATTATCTGTGTATTTTTAACATTAAAATATTCCAATTTATAAAAATTAAAGTGAAATTTTACATGTAAAATGGAGATGAGAGAATTCTTCTAACCTAAAGCTCTAAAGAGAAACAGCCTTATTTGCCAAAGCAATTTGAAGTTCCTTCAAGGAAACTGAGAACTGAGGACAGAGATAGCAACAATTCCCTTGTGGCATCATATTCTTCAGCTGTTATTTGCTCTACGAGTGGATCTCCCAGTAGGGTTAATCCATGAGTGTTTTTCCTTCTTCATACATGAAGATTCCCTTTTGCTCATCTTTAATCCAAATTTCCTTAACATGAGGTTGAAAGCAAGCCAGACAGCATGAGACATGTCATATGATCAGTCTCTTTGGAAGGATATAGAGACAAAGAGTTAATACGAACACACATATGGTCAACTGTCTGATTGTCAGACCCAACTCACCCACTCCTCTCTCACTCTTGGTGTTCTGTGGTCCTCCAGATGTGGTGGAAAGGTCTTCAGGGATAGGCATGGGCTCATCACCATCATCTGGAGTATCACTTACTGGAGGACTTTCTTTCCCTGAGGAGACAAGAAGAAGCATGAGTCTCTGTGGCTGGGGGCAGGGCAACAGAGAGCCCTTGCAGACTTTGAGAAGAGTACATGAGGAAGTTACTGGATTGAATTATTGCCTCCGTGTAGGGTTTAAAATTTATTCCCCTATTTCTTTTTTTGGGCCACATTCAGCTGTGGGCTGGGCTTACTCCTGAGTTTTTGTTCAAGAGTCACTTTTGGAGGTGCTCAGGGGACCATCTGCATTGCCAGCAATTGAACCATGATTGGTTGAGTGCAAGCCTTATACCTTGTACCACTATTCCAGTTCCAATAGTCTCCTTTTTACAAAGGAATATAATTACCACAATAGCACTATAGCACTGTCCTCCCGTTGTTCACTGATTTGCTCGAGCGGACACCAGTAACATCTCCATTGTGAGACTTGTTACTGGTTTTGGCATATCGAATACGTCAAGGTTAGCTTGCCAGGCTTACTTTGTGGGCGATATAGTCTTGGTAGCTTGCTGGGCTCTCTGAGATGGGTAGAGGAATTGAACCGGGATCGGCTCAGGTCAGCTGCGTGCAAGGCAAGAGCCCTACCTGCTCTGCTATTGCTGCAGCCCAACTAACACAATATTTTATTTAAAAAAAGAGAGTAGATACATAATGAAAACATTAAAAATAGACTATAATCCTAGAGAACCACTATTAAGATCATTACGTTCAAATAAACATAGATAGTATGTGATAATATATATTTTTCAATCAAAATAAACAAGCTTTTTTGCATTCTTGCAAATTTCATTCCCTGACATGTAATCATATTGCTAGCACTTAATTTACAATATCTATGTAATACTCCACTGTTTGGGTACATAGTATGCATTTGTACCCTTTTAATTTTGACCTATCTTGTTTTCAATATTATTATTACTATTGTTGTTGTTGTTAAACACTCTGGGGAATATCCTACCAGCTAATCCTCTGCACATTTCTTAATGATCACCAGAATAAATACATTTCCAGAAGGTTTATGGTAGGGTCAAAAGGCATCTGCATATTATATAACTCTTCATGACAGTATGCCAAATGCTTCCATTATATAGCTGCCCCAATTATCTTCCTGAAGTTTTCATCATATTACACCCTCATACTTACCTGATTTTTCATTATCAGAATGGTCATTCTAAGCACCCTCATTTTGTTCATTTTGCTTTCAGGAGCCAAGGAATGTTTTTCTAGTTGTTTTAAGCTGATTCAAATTGGTGGAATCAGAAAGGTGGGTCAAAAAATAAACGGGTAATACCAGAACACAATTCGCTCCTCACATCAGGAGATACTCAAACAACAGGATTCATATCTTTGAAGTATGAAAATAAAATACAATAGAATTCATAAAAACTGGAATACAATCCAATTATGAAACAGAAGGAGGAGGGAAAGACAGAGGAAGAAGACCCAAGGCAATTTCCCTATCTGCTTGTATCAGCTCTCTGGTCTGAATGTCATAAATTTTAACACTTTAAAATTTAACCTTACTATAATTGCTACTTAAATTACCTAACACCATTATAACTTTTTTAACTGTAGTAAATAAAAAACCTTAAAACAACTTAAATTCAACTTCACAAAGTAGAAGTTTTCAATAATATTGTGAATTTTAATATGTCTTCTGCACAATTAGACTGAATTAGAATTAAGTGTATCCAGCACTGGATAGATAGTACTGCAGGTAGGGAGCTTGGTTTGCACATGGCTGACCTGGGTTTGATCCCCGGCATCCCATACAGTCCCTTGAACCCAGTAGGAGTAGTACTTGAATGCAGAGCCAAAAGTAAATTGTATGCACCAAAAAGTGTGCCCCCCACCCCACCACCAACAACAGAAAATTAAGTCTCTCACAATAAAAAAATACTACCACTTTGAAAATTTTAGTGAGAATACATGGCTGATCGAAAGCTCTCTCTTTGGAACAACCCCCCCCCCCAAAAAAAAAACCCACAACCTTCTACCCTTCCAGATATGCCTGAAAATTGAGGTAGGAGGTGTAAAATACATGCAAGAAATAGCTGGGGAGGTCCCAGTCGAAGCAAATGACTCATTCAGGCTATGGTGGAATAACAGTTAAGAATAAGAATGTAAAGGAAGATTAACAGAGAATCAATTAAGTCTGAGATGCATGCTTGAGGGCTGGGTTTGCACCTTGATTAACGGGCAAAGGATTTTCCCACAGACAAACCCAGACTTGAGGGAGAAAATTTAAATAGTCAGGAAAGTACAAGAAAACATGGCACAATAGAATTTTCAAGTTTTTTTTTTTTTTTAATGAACTACCTGTAGGAGCAATATTAGTACTTCAGAGAATTGGCGAGACCAGAAAAAAAGGATCTCCAATGTATGAAATAACTCTTACTGGAATACTTTAAAATAGAACCTGCACAGACACCAGGTAAAGCTTTAGGGAATATTCGCGTTCTCTAGGAAACAGACATTGCAGTTCGTTATTCCAGCTTAATTACCACTGGCATATCTTCAGAAAGAACATTATTGGGTATATTTGGATAGCCAATACAAGATAAATAGTTAAAGACAATGATGTAGGATTATAAGAATTTCTCAAGGAAAAACAAAAGGGCAGAGAGAAATTGATTAAAGTGCTCATGTTTCATCCAAGCCTTTATAGCAGCAATGCTTTCATGGCCCTAAATAGAAGAGCTTAGAGTATCAATAAGTAAATATTTAACTATTTTCACCTAATTTATAAGGGAGGGAAACTCTGAATAAAAGAAACAAGGACATAAGTAAGCAATTCATTAATCTGTATTTTTAATGATGACTAATAAGTATTTTCACATTTTAAGGACCAAAGACATGGTCACTTTCATCATTTTAGTTAGAATAATCATATAGAGAACTTCAACAATTAAAACTATCTTTCTGTGTAGAGAGGTAAGAATCATGGATCAAAGTCCCAGACTGCTTACTTTCTAGAATACCTTCCATAGAAATGAGTGTTGAACCTATCTTGTTCATACATTTAGGATTAAATGAACATGGAATGGTGAATCATTGTAATCAACCAGCTAGTGGCAATTATTATAGGATAAAAATTTGAGCTGCTGCTAAGCTTTATTAGCACATTATATTATTGTTATTTTGCTTATAATGACTTTGCAGTACTACACAACTCTCTTGAACGTATCTAAACACCATGGTATACTGCTCAGGGAGAACCACAAAGACTCAAGACTTCCATGAAATAATACTACTCTTCTGAATTCATGCCAAAATATACCCAAATAACCCTTGATTGCTTAGAAATTATCAGGTATATTTTTCAGAGTGCAAAGTCAACTAAAAACTGTTGATCCTTTTAATAATGAACATGCTCCTTAATAGTACCCCAGCATGTCAGGGCTGCCTGGACTAAATGCTGGCTCACCAGTGTCCTTCATCTCGTATCTCACTTTATAATGTCCCATGTGGGGGAGAAGAGGGAATAATGAAAGCAGCAGGGGTTATGGTGCTAAAATACCATGGGTGAGATTGATCAATAGGCACTCTCTATGCAGAAGAAACACATGGGGAGAAAGGAGAATACGAAATCAACCTCGGCATGTTCAGTGGCATCTAGAAAGAAGTCAGAACTGGAAAAGAGCAAAGTTAGATCTATTCCTGTTCTCTCCAAGGGCTCCATTGTAAGGCAGTCTTGCTTACCTTCACTCAGCGATGGTTTTTAAGAGTCATCTGATTTGCCTAAAAGCCCCCAGAGTTTTCGAAGTGGCAGCTGTGATTAAGAAGCTGAAATCATTCCCATAAGTTTTGTATCCAATGACCCTCAGGTATTTTCATTACTGGAGTTTTCCACAATAAAATATACTGTTAGGTAAAAAATCTTCACGAGAAGCAAAAATATCTTTTCATGCTGATTCTAAACAAATTTTTCTTGGTAATCATTTTAAATATAAAACAAACAGAGTTATTAACACACTGCATCTGAAAATTAGTTGATTCAAGTCCATTTACAGTTTGACTAATATAAGGCTGATAGGCATTTTGAAAAAGTAATATTTTTAGGGAATTTGAAAAAAGTAATTCCTTAAAGATTCTTACCTCAACAGCAAAATTAGGCTTAAGATCATGATTATTACTTATCTCATAAAGTTATTATTTAGATAAGATAAAATAATGATATGTCTGAATGCTGATAAGCTAAATGAGTTCATGAGACTGTTTTGTAAACTATAATGTACTACAGAAACATGTATAACATCAATGCTCATATTTTCGCTAAGTGCTTATACAATGGCACATAAACACACAGAGTTGTAAATGGCAAGAAATAAAGTATTTAAAGGGGAGGTATAATATAATTTCATTTATTTTGAGAAATGAAACAAATCTTTTGCTAATATGCAATTTACTGAATGTCTATGTTTCAAGTAAACTATTACCTAATGAGAAATATTTTGACAAATTAGATGAGAAAAGTATATAATTGGCTTTTCAGCAGCAATAAAATAATTTTAATTAGTTTATAATTCATGCAATAGACTTCTGTAATTTTACATCTTTCCAAATATATGAGTTTTATTATACAAAATCTTAGGTAACCAGGTGAACATAATTTCTGGAACCAAACAGAAATTAGAATACAAAATTTCAACTCCATAGAGTAATGGAGAAGTTTGCAATCTAGTATCCAAGTGAAGTAAGTCAACCCTGGGGACTCAGAATCAGGTTTTGAAACTCTATTGAATCTATAGACCCACAAACAAAGATGGCAATTCTACCTTATTCATTGGAGTCTTATCAAGTTTAAATAAGAAAAGTGCTTAGAGGAGTCTTTGACAAATAAAAAGTATTCCATAAAGTACTTAACCATGATTAACTAGAGAAACTAGTATTTTTGTTGATATTTCAATACAAATGAGCCTAATTTCACTAAACATCTTTTTAACAGAGCCTATTTATTATTCTGATGTTCTGAAAATATTATAAACATCATTAAGAAACAGTCATTATAT